AGATTTAGTCTTGCAGTACGGACCCACACATCTCCTCTTTTTCTGTTTTAGTAACAAAATGTTTTATTTTGTCAAAGCGCGAAGTGTTCGCTATCGCTGAACTAGAAGTACTAGATCTCCCTAGCCCTTTGGGTATAGAGTTATATTTGCTCAAATAATGTAACACAATCTCCCTTCTGAAATCAAGCTGTGCCACTTTAGCGCCTGCTTTCCGTTGTAGTTGCCAAGCGTTGTGAATACAAGTACCCAGCCTCCAGCTGAATAGGGCCCAATACCATTTTTTGCCTCTTATGTGTATTCGATACATATTTATATTCTCGTCCATACGATCGACGCCTCCCATGAACCGATTATATTTACCAAAAAGATGAGGACGTGGGACCTGTACATTCGTTTATCTTTCTCTGAATAACGCTTCACAGTACTTATGGGTACCCCCAGATTACTAGAAGCAATAAACACTATACGCCATCATCTTTGCTTATAGCTGACTCATAATACCTTCTTTTTTTTCTATTTTATTTGCTTGTTTGTGGTGAGCTTCGGGCATTTTCGCAAACGATTTTCACGTACAGAACCTCGTCGCGCCATAGCCACAGCCTTATCGAAGATAAATGAGCAACTACAAACTTGTGATGAGGCATTCAAAATATCACTCAATGTTCTTTGGTTTTTGAATATTCCATAATCCATGTACCTGATAACAAGAAAGCGGATGCAAAGTAATGTCAGCTCATTCAAGTGCTTAGCGTGTCCATATGGACACGCGAACAAATTTGTTCTAAAACTCGATCGAAACAATGTTTTCACTTAGGTTATCATTTCAAACGTCAGATAACACTATTGACCACAATCCTATTCAAAAAGCAGTTAGCGTTTAAAATAATTTATAAGAAAAATTACTTACTTTCCACTGCCATCCACGTTTTTTCCAAAGTTCAAAAACAAACTAAAACTAGAACCTTATTTTACACGCAATACTCACTCGCGCTAAAAATAAATGTCATTTGATACTTTGATAGAAGTTACATGGCATTGCCAAAATAAGAAAACAGTTAGTCTGACTACAGTCATCGCTTAAATTTTCTACTTACTGCGTGTCCATATGGACACGCTAGGCATTGCTGGGTTAATTCAATTTTAACAAGCTCAGAGTTAGATCTATTTAAAGATGATGTTGTTTATACAAAACTATAGCTCTTAAAAAATATTAAAACACAAATATTATCTTTAAAACACTGTGAATGTAAACGGAATAAAGTCATAGTGTTTCTAATTTTTTTTATTATTTTTGTAAAATATATTAGATGTTAGTTTGATAATTGTATAAGTCTACATTATTACTTGTAATTTTATTTTGTTAATTTAGTTATTTAGTGTTTTATGCACATCACCCTTAGTATTTCTTTTTTCGTTTTCCTTACTAGGGTTGCCTCTAAGAGATCGCTTGTTACTAAGTAACAAGTTGTTAGCGATGACCGCCCGTTCCCTCCTTAATAATTTATGTTATCTGATTGTATATATAATAGTGCAACAAAATGTAAATAAATAAATAAATATGTTGTGTACGAGTGGAATTTCATATTCAGTCTCAACGTGCGATGATGAAACTCAGCTGGAGGTATTAATCTGAAAAACTACTCTGAACATTCTCCATGGTAAATGCGGTAGAAAATGCAGACGAGAGACATCCATCCAATGCGATTCGTCGACGATTGGAACCGCTATTCTACTAGGGGCTACCGCCCAGATGTGAGAATAGTACTATATGTGGGGACGAATTTGCGCTTTATAGAGTTGCAAGCGATAGCCCGGAGTGAAGTATAAGTCTCGCCTGGCTGAACACACCAAGCTTCTTAGAGGCTAATTTAGCCTTTCCCAAAAGACCGCGACACTAATCGTTGATCGATATGTCAACGCTCAACATTCCGATATATTTAATCTTGTCAATGACATTATCTATAACGAGTTTATATCTTTGCCTAGATAATTGATTTGTTCAATAATAAAATGCATTCAAGCTCTATATGAACTAGGCAGGGGGCAAAAGAAAATTGTACGATCGGATATTAGAGTTACCCTCCGCGTATATCAAATGAAGTCTTTCTAAACTATTCGGAGCAAGGATTCGATTGACGATCTCGACACTGTGACCGAGTGATCTTGATAATTAATATATAAGTAAAGGTTATAAAGGATTGTTATTCACTGTAAGGTGCCCTTTTGCCAAACAATTTGTTTATTTTGCAGCATAATTTTATTTTAGATTTGTTATATGAATATAGGCATACACGTAAATTTAATTTCTCTATAAAACTTGACATCTAACAGGCTTTTAACAGAATAGATAATAGTAACGGAAAGTAGGTGTAAATTGTGTGAAAAGTTATTTATAACGACGATTTAATAGATATTTTCGGTTACATAACACGGCACATTTATTACTATTATTCAAGAAATATTTTATAAAAGTTACCCTGTTTTAACGTTAAACATTATATTATTAAGATATTTAATATTAAATTCTGGAATATTGAATATTGGGTTATTTTACTAATTAAAACGTGATAATGACAATGTTCTCTTTCACTTCCCAAAAATGTGATCATGACTTCCTCAATCTTCCTTAATATGTTTTAATTAGATCGTTTGGACTAAAGTCTAAACTAAGGTAGGCTAGCAAAAATGAAATAAATTTATGTGAGTTGAATCAAACACGGCTTGCGAATGAATGAATGTATTAACATGACAACTGACAATGACAAAAAAGCTTATTTCGCTAAGAGCCTGAACATCTGTGTTATTTACTTTTTGATTATTTCTAGAATGGTCTGGAAGTATTCACCAAGGATCAAGTGTACTCCATCCAAGCATTAGCCAGGATCGATATACATGATTGTAAATGTAGATTGATTGGCCCGCGTCTTTTTTCACATCTAGTGCAGTCTCTCCATTAGGCTGCTATTCTGCGAATGAGGCACTCATTGGCAGATTTAATTTACATTTGTAGCTGAATAGGAGTCGCTAAATTTTATTAGCACGTTTATTTTGCCAGGAAAAAGCATAGAAAGTTATGTTTCATATTTTAAATACTTTAAAATTTAAGGTTACTTTTCACAGGTATGTCCAACAGCTAAATGAACATTAATGTAGCTTCAACTTTTTTCAGAATGCCATCACATAAGTAAAAATACAAAAACCCGCCCTATGACAATCTAAGACTGCTCAAGAACAATATATTCTGAGGTCTCACGATCGAAATATTTCGTAATACTACTGAACAATTGAAAAAAAAACAAAATCTATAAGATCTATCTATATACATTTTGCTTATTTACTATTTTACATATACTATCAGCTATTGAAAAAATGATAAATCAATACTATAAACAAAATACCTTTTAATATTCCAATATCTCAGAAGTCAGTCTGTCGATTCTTTTCTGATTACGCGTTTTTTAAGTGCGTCTGCTGTTACAGTGTACATATATAAGCATATATAAAGCTATAGGGATTCCTGAAAAAAAGAATAAGAAATATTGTGAGATTTTGCACTTAATTAGAAGGTCATGAACTTTTATCTGTCTTAAACATGCAGCGTTGATTTAAAATATACGTTTCACTGCAGACGAAAATATGTAAATATTTTAAAATACCAGTCTGATATTAGACTATTTAGAAAACTTTATTTCATTTTGTCTAGCCACTAAATGTACTAAAAAGATCCAGTTAGATCGAAATTAACAGCAAACATTTATTTTCCAAAATTGGTTTGTCTAAACGTAATATTATTAAGGCAAGAAAAAACTAAATGACTAGCTGAAAATAAATCGCGTAACTTAAACATGGGAATACTTTAACCTAACTATTGCAAATATTTAAAAACGGAACAAACTCATTAAATATCAAAAAGTATGCAATAAGCGCTCGCCGCCCGTCGGTGTTGAAATTAATCCTAGATCAAAAGTTGGTGGTGTCCGGCCAGGCTCTATTTACATTTCGGTCTGAGCTATAAAAGTGCGTCTTTTTGTGCGCGCCATCCACTAATTTAGATTGCGTTTTGTGGCGCAAAGTTTGCTGTTAAAAAATTCATATTTACTCGATAAATATGTGTATCATATTTTAAGTAAGTTAGGATTAACTAAATCTAAGTAGGATACCACTTCTAACTAACTTAGATATCGGTTATTTTAATAAACCAACTAATATCAGATGGTAGTAAAGATGAACGGCAATTTTCGGTCTCTATTCCAAGTAACTCAAAGATAGTTATAATTTATTCTGTCGTTTTTCTTTGACATCTTTCCATTTCGTAATTGTACATTTTTCAGTAGGTCTCAAGGGTTTGGAGTTATAAAGCGTATCTACTAAAAATTCTATTAATTTCCTTTTCCCTTCAAGCTCTGACACGAATTAACAGTAAATTTTTGATCGAATGAATATTCATTCTAAGTTCGCTCTGTAGTTATGTTTTAGACAACTTGTCTAAGATTGTTATGTTTATGATGGACATCCGTATTCTAAAATTAATTAATTTATTTTTAAAACTCAATTAACAAGAACTATTTAAAACAGTAAAAATGGTATCGGAAGTCTAAGTTACACGGGTGTTCCATTCCTCGAGAATCGTGAATGCGAAGTTTTAGTTAAATATTTTATTAAATTTCCGTGAAACAGTCAACTTAACAAGTTTTTACTGGTCTATTAATGTAGTTCTGGTAAAGGAAAGCTGATTCTCGCTTCTTAACTTTCAGCTAATTCAATCCTTTGCTTTAAGGCATTGGGCGAAACGTGCTTCAGATTCCATTTCCAGATTTTTGTCTGAAGCATTTGGGAATTAATTACCGTTTAGAGTGTCGTACTAGAATAATCTTTCTTTTTTCAGTGGCGTCGCTTCCATTTCTTTGTTGGCAACTTACCGATTCTAATTGCTGAGCGAATAAAGGAAAGCACGTAAAGCCGATCTCCTACTAGCCTAAACAAAAATATCAGTTAAACAGATGCAGCAATGTGTTTGCTTTATACAACAGGCAGCGGAATTTATCGCATTGGAACACATACGATATTTATTTAAGTTTTTATTAAATCCACAAAGGTAGCCTAATTACTCGGTTACATTACTCAGGCGCAGCTTCTTGCGAACCTGCCTTGGGATTCAGTGAAGTTTAAACGTGATGTGTTTGATTAGAAAATTTTATACACATACTAGAGACTGAAATTGCGAGTAAAATTCACCGATTCGACCGATAATTGTTCAAAATATTATCTATATGTCTCAAGTGGTTGATCAGTTTTGTTCGCTGTTCGCCGGATATATTCACTTACAAAAGCATGTTAAGAATACAAATAACTTTATAACACGCCTGGGATCCTATGTACCTGCTGGATTTCACTCTCTCGTGCTTATAATATACATGACACTTACAAATTACAGGGTCTATAGTTTTCATTTGTTCTAAATCAATCAATAAAAGATAGTACTTTTGGATATGAATGATGATGTTTTAATGATTAAAGTATACAACAAATATTTTACTTACATAATAAAGAACTTCGTTACTCAACATGTTATTGGGGAGTTAAACTATCTAAATGTTTATTTTATTGATTTTCACACGAGTCTGCACTCCGATATGGCTACAATAGAATTAGTTTGACACAGTTCCATCTTGTTGCCTAAATCGACGGACTGCTGTTTTAATTCTGATGCTTAGAGAACCCCATGTATGAAATTTATTTAGTGAAATGCGAGTTAGGACTTCGCCTCCGTTTTTTTTCCCTGCACCCGTTCCACAACAAACTGATTTTGTTACGCTTGATTTATTTTATAGTGTGTGTAATTAAAATGTCTGTGCCTTTCAATGTATATTTTACATGGCACGTGGTCACCGAAATTTGTTTGGTTTAAGAGAGCTTTTTCTGTAAGTGTAGGAAAAAAGTTTGCACAACTGCGTGGGTATTAGTCAGGAATACTACTAAGAAAACATAAAAGAGGTGAAGCCACCCGACTCCATCATTACGTGATGTGCGTCAATTAGCGACAAAAGCTTCGGCTCGGATTTTTCCGGAAGGGGAATTAAGAGCTTTCTTAATGCATCGAATTCCATCCCGTTAGTCAAAATTGTAATTGCGTTGCACTGTTGTTCCGCCCTTGACTCGCTAACGAATTTTTAATACCGCCGTAAACAATGGCGTCGCGGGGGGTGTTTAAATTTAATTGCAGGTTTAGTCTTCATGACGATATAGCGTTTATACACGGGTATGATGCGATATTTAAAACACGTTAAAAGCATTTTAGTCCATAATCTTTTAAATAACAATGAAGTCGGACCTTAAGCCGTTGGTGTTGGCCGCCGATCATCAAAAACTTACGCGTTAAGCTACAGGTACACATCAGAAAAGCTCCTCATCTAAAAATGCGGTAAAAGACCCGACATTCCCACGCAATGCAAGAGGGTCAACCCGCTGTGACAATTCTAATCACTCAAATCAATCAAAGTTGAATGTTTGTTGACCACAGTCAAGTTATATCCCAACCAATCCCCAGCGACTGCCGTCAACCTCCACTAATCTCAGATCACATGAGATCTCAGAAGCACATCAGCATCTAAGATAATCACCAGGCGAGCGACCACTGCGTGTACTCATTTAGCGGACTTCTCCCCCCCCCCAAACGAAGGAGATTTACCATGACATACACTTCCAATGACAGAAGAGTTATGACTTTTTCCATGACTGCCAGTTCGCTGCGACTGCTATACAGCTTTCGGTTTAGGGTTGGCAACATTGGATTAGGGTGCGTTGGGGTGAGGAGGGTTGCGTCACGTGCGAGGTCCGCACTCTAGCCCGACGCATGCGAGACCGCGGGGCGCCGGCGGCGCAGGCGCGCCCCCCTGTCCCCGACCCGGCCCTCAGTCAGCCACCGGCGGCCGTCCCGAACGCTTTACTGGCGCCCGAACGCGTCGCGAGTGCTTATCGAGTGATGTCGACTTGTGACTAGTGCCATGATCGTTCACTGTGCCCTCCTGGCGGCGCTGCTCGCCTCAGCCGCGGCCGCTTGGCAGGAAAACGTCCGCCCGAAGGTCTTCGCACAGCTAGGTTAGTGCATGGACTTTGATGTTGACCGGAAACCAATACTGGCTATGTCTCTGTGTAATGCTTAACAGAATTCATGTTTACGTCGACTCGGCACACGCGCATCATAACACGCGTCGAAAGCTCATGTTTATCTCTTTTGGGTCAACACAATCAAAACAGAAACCTTCGCGACTGCATAATCGATACAATTTTATCACTTTTGTTACTAAAACTCTTTCATTGATTTAACGTTGTTAAAGAAGTATTTGAAACCACAACTTGAGCCATGTTTCGTAAGATGGGAGCTTAAAATCATAAAATTGTGAGGTTAGGTTATGTCCATTCGATTATAGGAGGTTATAGACTCGCGTTTTTATCGCATTGTCGTTGCCAGTTGTGAGCTTTCTCTACGTTGAATAGGGTTACAATGAATGTCTTTTTATATACATTTGAACAATGAAAATCGATGGAATTGTTATTTGCTGCTAAATAATTATTAATAGTTAATCACTTTTTTCGTATTTAAATCTTATTTAATGATCATAAGGAATTTTGTGACATAAACCGTAATAATAAAAACGATATGAATATTCGTGTAAGAAAAGTTGTGGGCAAACGTGACCGACATGACATAATTCTTTAAATAAAATGACATACTTATATAAAGCCATGAATTTGAAAGAGCCTCCGTATCATTTTCATCGCCATTGTTTTAGAGAAATCAAAAAGCTTTGCGATTTCTTGACATAGTGTTCTAACAATCCGTACGGAGTAGACACGCGATGCTTCGTGTATGATAAAGAGGAGGACTGTGCCTCTATTGTTTTATTGTGCTGCCTGCATTGCAGGGGACAGCCACGTGCCTCTCATTAGTGCATCACAAAGCGAGGCAGTTTGTTCTGCGTTTTGCAATGTTACGCTCAGAATAGCGATCCATACCATGTTTAACGTAGCGTACTAAACTTTGTCTAACTCAGCCGAAAGCTTAAATGTTGCGATTGTTTCCATTTAAATGTTTCGGTTTGGACAATTTTGGTTGATTTCAAAGTGCAAGACTAGAACTATAATATGTATGGAGGACTGAAAGGAGGATTGAAAGTAGTTCGGAGGAAGTACAAGTTTATTAAAACTTTATATATAGGTATAACAGTTGTATTTGTTTCCGATTTTGCTTACTTTTGCTTAGGACAAAAGGACGAGAATTAAGATACTAACATTGTTTTGTTTACTTAATATAATGAGTATAATATAATTTATGGTCCCAATACGTCCGCAATGAGGCCAATTAGAGTAAGTGAATGAACAAACGTCAGTCTAGACATTTACAGGTCCAACGCATATCCGTTCATTGTTCCTTTTAAAATAGTTTATGAATTTTATGTTGTAAGAATATTAATTATTCTGAAAAATATCAAGTCGAAAATTCAAAAAAGTAGAGTTAAAGTAAAGTGAGGTTGCTTTCGATGTTTAAATCGGCATTTGTATTTAAATAATATTACTTCTTAGTCACTTACATAACAGGGGCTCATTAACGTGGGGACTAGGTAGCGTCTTAAAAATGTTGTCACAACCATGTTCAGTTTTATATAAAGTTTATCAATTATTCATATTTCTGTTCTTATTAGTAATTCATTACCAGAAGCGAACTATCCCCAACAATTTTATCACTGTAAAAGCCAGGGTTTAACTACATTATGTGCTTTTGTACGTATGGAAATCGGAGATATTTCTGAATTAATATAAATATAGCCGTCCTCTTTCGTTCGAGATAATAAAGAAACGGATTTATTTCTCTTAACCAAAGAAAAGCTATTTTCAACGTGTAAATTGAGAGCAGCTATTTTTTTTGTAATTCTTTAGCGATATACTACTTTGTTAGGAAACAACATGTTCTAACGATTTTTTATGTTCTTACATAAAAAATCGTACAACCTTTATAAACGTGAAATAAATTACATAAAACTTATATTAGAGATACAAAAAAAATTAAGATATATTATATAATTTGTTGTTAGAACCGATGAAAAGTTATTGGGTCCATCGGTCCCATTAACTTATAAAATACATTAAATAATTTGATAACAATAAGTTGCGTAATGAGTACACATTATGATATCTTTTATTTCTAAATAGGAATAAAGCTTACACAAACATCAAGGTAAGAAGATGCCGTTAGGTTAAAGGGATTGAAAACCAGTTCGCAAAAAATTGTTTAATCCCGTTTGAATTTGAAACCACTACAGTTTCCTGTTTCACCATTAGAGAAACCTAACATAATGTAACAAAACGTTTTGTTCGTTGTTGTATTCATGGAGAACGGGGCATTATACACCCACATTTAAGTCTAGAAAGTTTTATCGATGATAAGTGTCGCAAGTGACTTATTACGGTAAGATTTTATATCCAGACCGGTTCTTGGGCTACGTGATTTTCTGTCTGATCGCTGAACTTGTTAGTTTCACCTTGCTATGATTCATTAACTGTTAAGAAAGGTCAGTGGTGTCGCACCAACTTATTCGAAAGTTTGAACTCTATATAAAAAAGGGCTATACATTAAAATCATCGTGATATATTTAATTTATATTAAGTTTGCTGTTTACTTTTTTAATTAAATGTTTAAATGAAAAGATAACAAGAATCCTCCATACATAATTGCTTTATCAAAGTACACCACATCATATATACCTACTGCTCAAAACAATTAGCGGAACAAGATTTTTCTCCTTTCCATTGCTTAAACTAAAATTAGATTTAAATTAACTTGTACGCTATTTTTTACCTTGTTAATTTGTTAATTACTACAATTAATAAAAAAATTCAATTTGTATTTTTTTTATTAAAAAAAAAATTAAAATGTGCATTGTAGACGAAAAACTAATTGGTGATAAAAAAGGTCCATCAAAGAAATATTCTTATATCGTTTGAATATTCGTCTTTAGTGACTTTCAGTAACGTGTGTGGCCTCCATGAGCCCTAATCACGGCTTGACAACGACGCGGCATGCTTCGTATGATCCTCCGAATATCTTCTTGTGGAATTCGCTCCCATTCTTCAATCAACGCTTCAGTGAGCTGCTGCAGTGTTTGAGGTGCAATCGGACGCTTCCGGATGCGCCTGTCAAGCAAGTCCCAAATGTGTTCCATTGGATTTAGGTCAGGGCTCATGGAAGGCCACTCCTTTACATGGATTTCCTGCTGTCGTAAGTAATCTGACGTGATGGCTGCAGTATGCGGCCTGGCATTATCTTGCATTAAAAGAAAATCTGGGCCCATACCATATGCTGCGGGCCAAACATGATCTTCGAGCACATTTTCAATGTAAGTTTGAGCACACAAGCGCCCGGGAACAACGACGAGATCTGTGCGCTCGTCCAAACTAACTCCGCCCCAAACCATCACAGAGCCACATTCAAATTTGTCATATTCCTGGACTGCTGCTGCACTGTATCGCTCGCCTGGGCGTCTGTAAACACGGAGACGACCATCGCAACGTGTTAGACGGAATCGTGATTCGTCAGTAAAAAGCACTGGCCTCCAATGTCGAAGTTGCCAATTAGCGTGATTTTGCGCGAACTGTCGGCGAGCTTGTCTATGTTGAATTGTTAGACGCACAGCCCGAACTGGTCGGCGTGATCTCAAATTGGCTTCCAACAACCTATTTCTTACCGTCTGGTCGGAAATTTCTACACCAGTAGCCGTCCTTAGTGTATTTTGTAGATCTCTTGCAGTTGTGGTGCGGTTACGTAAAGCACAGTTGACGATGTAGCGATCTTGCAAACGTGTAGTTTTTCTCTTTCGACCTTGACCACGCCTTCGTGAGTATTCTCCCGTCTCACGGTATCGCTTCCAAAGTCTGTATAATTGAATAGGTAGACATCCCTACTCATCGGCAAAGAAGACAAAGGGTGAAGGCCGAGAGAAAAAGCCGGCGTAAAAGACTCGGTACTCTTTTAAAATAGCAAATCATCAAACAACACTTATTTTTAAACAAATATTGCAAATTAATTAGAAGTAGCCTGTCTAGCACTAGTGCCAGGGCCTTTTATCAACATAATCGTTAACTTTATAGTAAGCCTTTTTACACAGCTTTTCTTTAATACATTTCTTAAATTTATTAAAAAATAGAGATTTTATTAAAGAAAAATATCCCTTTTCCCAAAAAATAATTACTGACTTTAGAGAGTCTAGTACGGGGAAATTGCAGCCTGCGTTTGTTCTGAGTATTAACATTGTGCGTATGTTCTATTCTAGTAAACTTATCACTATTTTTAATATTTTCATAAATATATTGCGAGGGAAAGGTAAGTATATTAATTTCCTTGAATTTACCTCTCAGAGATTCCCTACATTTTAAATTATAGATTGCACGAATAGCCCTCTTCTGCAGGATGAAAATAGTTTCGACATCAGCAGCATGACTTTTAAAGATACTTATTCGCCAAATGCGGATTAGGTATATGATAGGTGCGTAACAACACTGTTTTTGAAATTGACCAGCCCATTACCGAATATATCGAGCTCTGAATAATTCCGTTGTATTCGCGAAGAATTCGAATGAGTTGATTGTTGATTCTGTTGATTTTGAACCTTGGGAATCAATAAGGAACGGAAATGATAATATTGTGTAAGTTGTTACTGTTCTGTTTATGTATAAGAACATAACGCCGGTTAGAGATCTTCAATCGTACAGTGAGATCATTTTAATTAAAACGTTAGTAAAAGTTTTCTTACTCTACAGGTATATTTCCTTTATCTAAATATTACAAAAATGATGCATAATATCACGTTGAAGTATAAAATAATGTACAAAACCTTCACAATAGGGTTCTTTAGCTTAACATCAATTTAATATTGCGTTATGGTTTCGACCGCCCCTGGTTTAGTTTGTAAACGTTTAAACCCATAAAATAACTGTGCACCTGAC